TGGAAGAAAGCAGCTGCGTGGGTGAAGAAAAGGTGGACTGGCCTTGTGAAGACCTTCCTGCGTCACCTGCGCAGTTTTTGCGGAAACCAAGGCAAAACACCGCCGAGACCATGAAAGGCCCGTGGAAACACATGCCTCTGCACGCTGCTTCTGCAATAGAGGCGCTTTGCTCCATGCCGGCCTGGAGAGAAGCAGCTGCGTGGGCGAAGAAAAGGTGGACTGGCCTTGCAAAAAGATTTGATGCTTCACCTATGTGTGATCTCATGGTCATGGTGGAAACCAATGGCAAAAAACATTCCCGAAGCCCCTAGCTACAGGGAAAACAAAACCATCTGCCCAGGTTGCATTCCGTGAAAAACTGTGCTACACATGCCTCTGCGCGCTTCTTCTCCCCTGGCCCAAGCAGCGCTTGTGCCACACGCCACACAATGACCAGGAGAAAAGCAGCTGGCTGAGAAACCAGCTGACACGCCTCTGCGCACTTCTTCTCCCCTAGAAGCGCTTGCGCCACACAGTCGCCTGGGAAAAAGCAGGTGGATGAGGAACCAAACGATACTCATGGCAACACTACTGGACGGTTCACCTGTGTTCTTGTCGTGTCTTACTGGATGGCGTCACCGAAGAACGTGTGGAAGGGATCTTTGAAGCAAACAAGTGGAGGGTTGACTAAGAGTGAGATCGAAGTGAGCAAGTGTGGCCGACTCGTGAGTTCCAAGCTGAGCGTGCAAGGGAAGAAAGACTGCCACGTGGCTTTCCCGCGCAGAGCTGGGAATCCAAACGCTTGGCATTTGAATTTGCGTCGCTGGGGCGATATATTGCAATCCACAAATAATGTTTGGCCGAACGTTGACGGGGTGGAGTGTGGGGACAACTCTAATTGATGTATGGGTGTGCCAGCATCTAAAACACTCTGGTTCGCGTGGGGCCCCTGCTTCTTAGAAATCATGTCCTGGATTGACTGAAGGGAGACCCCAATTCGGCTCGCAGTCGCAGAACCCTTTAACCATCTCCTGGTTCACAGAAGGTCTTCTAACACTCAGAGCCTTCCAGAGTAGGCCCCTCCAGCCGGGCCCCGGAAGTTATAGCCCTAAAAAGACTCAGGGATCAGCATCGCTCTTTGCAATTGCTTGCCCACACCATCCGGCACCCTCGCCTGGAGCAAGGGTGCCAAAGCAAAACAATCAAGCCAGCGCCACTGCCAGCGCCATGCAAACAGTCGGCGCCATGAGCAAGCGCACCAAAGGGAAAAAGTTGTCTTCTTTGGGGGGGCGCTGGTGTTTTGATGGGGCCTCTAGGAAGCTCCCTTTCAATCCCCGTTCCTCAGACCATTCCTTTCAGTTTCCCAGGCATATACATATGCAAACTGTTGATTTAAGCAATATGTGTACATATTATATACTATATATACACATTGGATGCTCATATGATCTGCAGTTGCTTTGATGTCTGTGAAGACACGCGTGCCAGCCCCAATACTCAACAGATTCTAGGCAAGCGGAGGTCAGTTCGCACAACCAGCGAGCGTCAATTCCGCAACCTGTCACTTGGTATGAATTTGAAAAGAAGGTCTGTGTATTAGCCAGAAAATAATCAACATTGTTTTCTTTAGGTGTCCTGGTGTTTTGGTGGGCCCTGTAAAGGTTCACCGAACCTCCCACCTTGGGTGAATAACCCCTTGACTTTGGGAAATGTTACCCCCCCCTTCCTCTGCAGCTGATTCAGAGAATCCAAACTCCAAAATGATTGTGCTAAAGCTGAAAGGCGGCATTAGAATGTACAGCACATGATTGGAGTTTTCTGGACGTTTGGGTTCTGAACTTCAAGTACCTTGGAAAATGGCACATGACCCTATCAAAACAAGTACTTGGTCAAAGCAGGGACGACTGTACCCATTTTCCAAGGTACAAGCTGAGACTCGATCTAGAAGCCACTATAGTTGCACTATATACGTATAACATCCTACGCTGTGCGATCTACTCAACGGGACACTGAATATGTCCCGTCGATTGAATCACGGATCTTCAGCATGACCTACCGCGCCGAAGGCTAAGGTGGACCCTGAAAAGCACTGGTTTGTGAAGGAAACCGTCTTTCAGAGTGCCCTTCTCAAGGTCCATGTTGGTATTTGTCAACTAGTGTTTAAGTGACCTGAAACTCAGGGAAGTTCCTTTACTTCACTCAGAAGAACGATCGTCTTTGGACTCCAAGGACCTTGGACCATTCCCATCAATCAAACTCCTCAAACTCCTCACCGACTGCTGATCCTGCAACTCTAAACGCAGGTCCTTCCAACAGAGGTTGAAGGACTCCTTCACCTTCAACCATCTCAGCTTCGGTACCCCAATCGGGTCCTAGTTCAGGTCACTTCGCCTCAGCCCCCGCGCGCGCATCACCCGACGTCCGACGCCGCTCGGCTCGGCCGAGCAGATCGACCGGTGAGCGACGACGAACGTGGTCCCCGTCCGGTCCTGCGCGTGGCCCTCCTCCAGCAAGGCGTTCGCAGCGTCTTTGATCTCCAGAAGAGTCTCGCGAGAGCGTTGTCGAAGAAGGCGCAAGAAGGCGCAAGAAGAAGTCAGAGCGAAGACGGAGCAGAATGCGAATCTTTTTCTGACCCTGGGAGTGGTGGCCCAGCGTTGATTTCAGGGTCTGAATCCTGCAGAAGCATGGTTTGCCGACCAATTCTACACTGCAACAACCTGGTCGGCCTTTCTTTTTATGGTGTGTGATGTATTTTGACATAGACCTCCCCCCTGAGGAAAAGAACTTGCTCCTCGAGTTTACAAACAAAGATGTTACTGAGGTGGGGAGGAAGATGAAGGAAGTGTCTTCCCCCCAACCACGGTGATAGGGCAGTTCACAACATCTCCAGCATCTTAGCCAAATCGAAACGGAAGGTATGGAGGATGATCACACCTCGCATGGTCGCCATCCTACTAAGTCTATCTCAAACACCACGTTCCATGGGGCTGGAATGTACCCAGACACGACTAATGGGACTGCCAGTCCGGACTGCCGATCAAGCCAGACCCCCCAAACCCACCACCCCTGGCTGTTTCTCGGCATATATATATATATATATATATCCCCTGGCACCACCCCAATGTAAGCATATAATTTATATGTATATATAGTCCTATGGCAGTCCCAAACGGGTCGTGTCTGGGATCTACCACCCCAGCCGCCCAAAGGGCGGTCGTGGACAGACCGAGGAAGGCGCCCGGTGACCGGAGACCGGTGACCGGAGGAATTGGACCCGGTGAAACCGCCTGGTTTCGATACGGAAAGACAGAAGCAATCAACAGACTCGTGCTGCGGGCTTAGTAGGGAATGAGGGAATGAACCACCACTTTTTTGGCCCCTCTGGATCCATTCCCATATTCCCTACTAAGCACCAATCAGTCGAGGGTGAGAAGAAGATGAAGATTTCTTTATGAATGCTTGTTGGATATCCCAGACATGGAATGTGGGGCTGGAATGCCGATCAGTTGGGGTGAAAAAAAAGTGGTCAATCTCTGCATATATACGACACATGCAGTGTTTGGATACGCAACTCGCTGGATGTGTTCTAGGTGCATCGACAGTGATTCAGCTTGAATGTTTGACGTCAAAAACATGTCAACGTATGTCAACGTAGTGAACGTATCTATCTGGTAAGCTCCAATATATGTCTATTTTTCTGGATCTGTTTGTTTTCGTTACTCAGTCGGTCTAAACAGCCTCTCAGCTACGACCTTGCACATCAACCACGGGGTTGGTTTTCGGAAGATCCTTGTCCAGTTCGGTCGATGCCATCAGGTTCCATCTACTTACTCCCAGGTGTAAATCTAGATCTGCTTTCGACCCAGTGACGGGCCCTGTTCCGGCCCTGTTCCGCACCTTGACTTTCTGGTTCGGTGACCGGCCAGAAACCATGGCAAGCACCCGGTCGGACCGGCCCAGGTGAGTTTGGCCGAAGGGGTCAGGATGCGCGCAGAAGAGGACCTTCGTTCCCAACAGCTGCGGGTGTTCTGATGATCCATGGGGTGTTTTTGGAGGAACATCTCTTCAGACGCTGCACGTGCTCTCTGTTTTCCTTCGATTCTGAGTTTCCTTTTCCCATCCTTACAATCAACAGAGTCAACAACATCAACGAAAGGCGATAGTTCGACCTCTGTTGCGGTCAGAACATCCTCAGTTTGATGGTGATTCCCCACAAAAAGAATCAAACAGTATCAAAAAGCGATGACCGCCAAAAATAGAGGATCGGGATGTCGTCGTTCGAACGGTGAAGTGTTGCACGTTTTTTCCTGTCATGCACATTCGAATTCACTTCGTGACTCACGCCCAGGAGGCGACTCCTATGACACTCCTGTGATAATATGGCACTCCTGTGATTCTTGAGAGGTGCGAAAGAACATGATTCTCCACCTTCCTGTTTCTGAGAATAAGAATCGTAACTGCGGTACACACAACCTCTGCATGATGACAACTCCGCACAACTCGTCTTGAAGCTTCAAGATCGTGCTTGCGGAAGGGCAATGACTTGATGAAAACACTGAAGACATACTCTCGGACCAACACATGGAACCTGTGGATGGCCTGGTTTTCGATGGCCGGATCCCGAGGTGGCCAGATGACTTTCCGCCTTTTGCGGTCCTAGGGAGTCAACTCCACTTCCATGATCTTCCGGTTACTCCCTTCCTTCGGCTTCCGTTCGATCATTGAAAGAGTTCGGGAACGACCTGGTTGCGTAGTGTAAAATCCTTAGTAAAACAATGGTGGTTCGGGATTCAGGCCATTAAAACAATGGTTGTTGGAAGCCTAGGGTACTGTTGGCTTCAGATCTGATTTTTGCCGATCATCCCCACCAAACAGGTCATGCCAGCTAGTCCGGATGACGTGTCATGCGCACACGAAACAGGTCTAACCATCGTGGCCGTTTACCGCCGCGGAAAGCGGACCATTGCGCGTGTCTGGCCCGAAAGTCATACTGGCGGAGCCGCTTTACCCCAAGATTTTAACATCTTCCCCAAGGGTTCTGACTCATGTAGACTCTTGCTTAATGAACCGCCCCATTTGAGTTGGAAATCCGCTTCATTTGGGGGGTTTATCAATCAAGAGTCTATACATGTCTATACACTAATTACTTTTGAAGGTGGTTGGAGTGGCTTTGGGGTTTAAACTACCCTCTGAGGGCACGTGGCACACGAGCCCCAGGGACCATCTTTCCAGGTGCACAAAACCACGGACGGTGCTGCGTGGGCACACCGACACCGACTTGTGGTGATGGCCCCTTTTTTCCCGCTCGAAGTCGCTTTGGAAGTCGTCCGTGCACCTGCCGATGTCGTGCTGAAGGTCAGAACTCTCATGTGCTCAGCATTGGGTATATCTTGGGATATCTTGGGTATATCCGATTCGCTGTAACTGTGGATGATGGTTAGGTTGCAGGCCTTCTCAAGTGAGAATCTTTCATCGACTGTTACAGGTAATGGGACACACCCAAAACCAGGGCCCAGTGGATGATGATGGGTTAGTAAAGACCGACTGTTACTGGTAATGGGACAAACCTCATGCATAGCACACAATTGGAAAGAACTTGAGAGGAGGGAGACACGAAAGGTAGGACAGCGGGAAGAGAAGAGAACGCGAGAGGCAGGAACAAAAACGCAATGTTCGACATGGTGATTTATCCCCTCGGAGGCGACCTTTCGTAAATATAATTTCATATGCACTCTAAATGTTCAAACATATGCTCTCGAAATGTTCAACAAGATTCTTAGGAAAACAAATTTGCCCCATGGCTCAGAGCATCGGTGAGCATTGAATCGGAGCATCATAGGATGTGAACTATCCTGAAACCATAAGAGGCTCACGAAGACGTTCCCCAGGATTGAATTGACGTGCTTCACAAAACAAACTCTAGGTATGTATCCCCTCAGGGAACACCTTTCGTGATTAGAATATCATATGCACTCTTTCTGAATGTTCAAGAGGGTTTCAACTATCCTGAAATCATGAGAGGCTCACGAAGACGTGTACCGACGGGGGAATTGATTTTGTGGGGGGGGGGGGGGGGGTCTGTATTGAGAAAGCAATTCCAAGCAAATCAATTCCAAGGGGGGGAGGGGTTGAATTGAATGATCAATTATTAGACCCTTTTCCGCGCCGACACTTGCTTCACAAGACAAACGTCAAGGTATCCCAAAGACAGGGCTACCTTTTGTGAATCAGAGCCATCCAAGGTATCGAGGTCGGTCGCAGTCCGCTCCATGTCTTCAGCGGACAGGAACGCTCCCAATGGAACCCGTGACGCCCCGGGCCCACACGCACCGGTGACGCCCCGACCGCCGGTCCGCGGCGCAGCGTCAAGGAACTGTTTGATGGACCAAGCATGGACATGATGCCATCATGCCATGAAGGGGGTTCCTTTTGTTCACCTCTTTATCACCCAATCTTGCAGTTCCATCTTCCAGATGTATCACATGCCATCTCTCCTTGGATGTTCTTTGTTGTTGCCGACACACCCGACCCAACCTCCCACACCAGACACCTCCGAGCGATTCTTCTAGGCAAAGACGTCCACGAGCCACCCCTCTTCGTCTGGCTGCAACCTGAGCGTCTGGAGAGTCGAAAGCACTCGGTCGACCGAGGCGATAAGAAGATCCCAACAGAGGTTGATAAAGCCATGCAGTGGGATATGTTATCACCCAATCTTGCAGTGGGATAGCTTGAAGAAGCCGCCTTTTTGGGGTCCTATAGCCTATATAGACTATCCCACTATATCGCCTATATGATCGTATATGGTCCTATATCCCAACACAGTGTCCTCTATAGACATGTCGACAGTCTATCCCACTAGTAGGCTCCTACTGTAGGGTCTGGTCCTTGCTTTTTTTCAGGTCCCACAGTTCTCTCTCTTAGGGTCGTTGCAATCGAAGAAACTACTTATATCACCTGCTCTTCTGCCACCTGCTCTTCTGGGAGAGAAGTCCAACGACCGGGACCCGGGACCCGAACTCCGTCGTCCAACGGAGTCGTCGACGCGTTCGATGATCGCTCTGCCTTTGGATGCCTAACTTGGCTGGCTTTTTAGATACAACATGATACAACTGAGACGGACGACCTGCCGCGGACGTTTGGCGCGTGTGGGATACAACAGGATCAAAAGGCAAACATGTCACACGGTTGGAAGAAGTGAAGGTCCAGGTTGGAGTGCTGAAGTTGGGATAAACATCTTCAGCTTCATCCGACTTCGACTTCCTGCTTCTTCTTTGACCGAACGTCAGACGCTTGCTTCGGTCACGCCAAAGGAGGTCTCACAATTTCAACCCAAAACGTTGAGGCGAAAAAAGCGATTGCAGGGGTCGAGGCAGTCCGTAGACCCATGTATGGCTCATCTATGGTATATTTACTGATGGAGTCGCCCAGACAGGAATTTTGAGGGGTGGCCATCTTTGACAAAATATCATAACATATCATAACATATCCATACCAATCCATACCACCATCTCATGTCGGGCTTCTCCCAGCCGCTGCAGCTGCGAAAGACAACGCGTTCTTAGGGTTATCAAGGATGGTAAAGGTATCAGTGTAGAGCTTGGAGTTTGATTTCGGTCTCCTCGACTCGCTCTTCGCTCCGGTCTCACCATCTCTTTTTTTCAAAGGCCGAAAAGCGCGGGAGTTTCTGTGTCCAGGCGATCCGAATTGGGGCAAAGCGCACACGTGGGAACTTCGAATTTACAACGTCTGCAGTGGACCTCGCCCCTGTACAAAAGCGATCGTTCAGCTGGAACTGACGTCCATCCTCAGCGAACGGCGATGTTTTTTTTACATGAGCCTCAGGACACTCGACTGACTGACTCCTTCAGTTTCCCGGGAAACACATTGTTAACTACCTGTTCTTGTTTAGCGGCTAAACCACCCCCCAAAGAAGAGTGACCTGCAAGTGATTGGCTAGGTGCAGTCCGAACGCGCAGTCCGAACGTCACTCTTTCGAGGATCATCCAAGCTGCGACTTGACTTCACGTCTCAATGCTTTTCACTTCTCGGATCAAGGCTTTCCCGGCTTTCGGATGTATACTGTAAATGTTTTGAAACCAGTTGGCGATCGGCTTTCCCCAAGAACAATCACTCAGCTAGGAGGCCAGAATATCCTCTTCGATTCTTGGATGCTTGACTTTGAACATGGGAGAACGGCCCCCAGCTATCCTGCTGCGCAATCTGTGCAAGACATGACACGCATCAGCTCCTTGCGACTCTCTTCTTCACCCTCTTGGATCTTCTGAATATGTGGACTCATTTGCGGAAGAGGACTCAAAAGCTGCCAGGCATCAGAGCAGCTGGACTTGAAAATTATATCCGCAATGACAAATCCTCGGCCGAAAGGTGTGAAGATAGATGAAGAGCAAGAAACAACCTCTTGGACAATATGGACACATGAAAAAAGGATTCTGCAGATTTCTGACTCATGTCATCTCATGTAATTTTCAATTTCCTATCAGGGATCACTGTCAACTCGGAAGAATCTCAAATGAGACATAATGAGACACACCTACACGCTACTACACACGCTCACACACACGCACACACCGAATTGGGCGAGCAAGCAGGACCGGAACCGATCGTCCAGGAAACCTGGGAAACATAAGATATATTCCCCATGCTGCATGCCAGGGGATTTACCCAGTTCTGGGAAAACAACATCACCTGATCCGCAAAACCAGGCAAATCCGAGCGCATATTTCATGGAGCACTGCTCTCTCCGTTCTTCGCTCGGTTGCTCCATCGTTGATCTCCAAGGTGCTGGTCTCGAGGGCCAGGTACCCATTGCAAACTCATAGCCTTGGGAAGAAAAGTGTGCAACTCGCGCACCCGGAAAAACTGTGCAGTTGTGCTGGAATACCTGAATCTTCCAACTGTGCACACTTGCCGCCTTTTCATCTGAGTCTAAGTTTGGCAGATATTTTGCAGTTGGAAGCTCCAGGTATGCCATTGACCTATCAACCAGTCC